GGCAACCACCAGAGACGATGATGACTGATGACAATAATGATCCTGTGCCTTTAAATATATTTAGCTGTTACAAGTGTCTTTATTGTTCTATCAAAACAAAACATCGCTTTCAAACATTATAACTTAATACAATGTTTTACGTATTTATTTTTGTATTGAACATAACTACTATGTAAGTAGTATGTTATAAATATGCTATAAAAAAAGTTTCAAAACATTCAAAATTCTTGATCATGTTTCAATATACATGTGTCACAACATAGTTTATCAGTAATCACATATATAATACAGACATAGTTAATCACAGGATTCTTCACAATTTTGTTGTGTTTTTGTTGAAATTAAAACAAGGGTGACAGAATAATTACTGTCGAATTCTTGAAAGTCAAACTTTGATATAACAAAGTTGTGAGTCAAGTTTGTGTCAATATTTCCTTTAATAATTTCCAAGTTGAAACTGTAGGTATTTATTGTATATATTTATATTTAAGCTTTAGGCCGAATATTGTAAGCCTCGACACCAAAAAAGTATTGATTTTTTTCATGTTACTTGCCTAATATGTCATTTATGTTTATAGGGTGATAAAAATCACCTGATAAAATTAGTTACGAATGAATTAGGAAAATGTGGAAAAACGGGGAAAATTATTAATCTTTGTGGCTTTCGATGCTTGCGCTGCAAAACAGTTCAAGAAATCTTAAAAATATGTACGGATGAATTATCCGTTTAAATAAAACACTTTAATGGTTTAAATCGCGATATATTAGTTAAACTTATTTGAAAATGATTTTTAATTTCGGCCCGACGTTTCGGATGCTTTGCAGCAGCCGTGGTCACGGGGAGACTGACCCCGGTCTCCCCACACATACAGTGACTAAAATCTTATACCTAACTTCGATTCGACAATTTTAACTCACCGCAGGCATTTTTCATTTAGCCCGTAATTATTTACAAACGTAGAAAGCTTCCGAATAAAGCTTTGCCGAAAATTGGATTAAAGAAATTTAATTATGCTTAGTATAGTTTTGATCTATATCCAATTGTTAGGCCAAGGCCTAGGTCCTTTGCCAGAGGAAGGATGATTTAAAAGACCTTGAACCATTACGGGCTGGTGGGTAGGTCTATATTGTAGTGATGGTTTAAACTGCTCAACGCAGCAGAAGGGTGATAACCCGACTGGTAGAAGAGGTTTTCTAAGAAAATTTTGTCCCAATCGGGATTCGTACGTTATGATGTTTAATGATGATATATGTACTAGCAAAATAAAATGTTTTTTTTACACTGTCGCTCCAATATTAATTACTATTAGCAATGTATTCTGGATTGAGTGTGTGTATTACTGAATAGTAAATTTACTTGAAAAAGTAAATTTATTATTCAGTAATAATTAAAAATTAAAAAAAAAAATCGCGTAAATCGTCTGTAATTTACGCGAGTAGTACAGTTAAATAAAACACTTTCAACGGTTTAAAACGCGAAATGTATTAGTCAACGTATTTTTAATATATTTTAACTACAGCTGGACTTTTGCGATGCGCAGCAGTCTTAACACGGGGAAACGGTGACTAAAATATTTTGCGTTTTAAACCGTTAAAAGTTTTTTATTTGAATGTGTACAAATCGCATAAACTACAAACAGTACTTACTTTTCACTAAATCACAATATTATTATATTATATTTAGAAAAAAACTACCGTAATAATGTTTACAACAAGTCTCCAATTGTTCCAGAATTCATAGAATTCGGAATCCAGGTATTGGACGATAAGGAACACAGAATTGACTGGAGCAGATAATTTAGGCTTTTGTTAAACATAGCGCGGTGGATTTTAGTAGCAAATTGCTGCTATGCTTTTGGTAATAGGGGAATTAAGTGGATGAATTTGGTATCGCACTTATGTTTGGCACCATTCCTCATTTTGATTAAATGTCATTGGTCAAGTGGTATAGTCGACTAATAAAGTACCGACTAAATATATCCTTACAAAAAAGATCAAAAGTTAAAAAACACTACATTGTGGAATTAAAAAAATAAAAACAATTTTTTTTTACTACCCACTGTAGAATTAACACGTTATTTAAAATAACAAAAAACAATAAAGGTACGGATACAAGCCTAGCTAAAGAGATTCAGTTATTTTAATAAAATACTTTTGATGGTTTAAAACTTTAAATATTAACTTTACTTTTTTAAATTTATCTTAACTACTACCTGATGTTACGCAAGTTTTGTAATAGCCGTGATCACGGGAAAAGCAGGCCGTAGTCAAAGTAAATTAAACATAAGTATATATTGAGATAAAACGCTTTAACGGTTTAAAACGCGATATGTATTAGTTGAACTTATTTGAAAATCATTTCTACCGACGTTTCGGATGCTATGCAGCAGCCGCGGTCACGGGGAGACTAAAGATGGAGGGTGTGTCGTCAAAGTAAAAAACTGCTACGCCAGCGCCATCTGTTCTGTTAAACTACAGACATTGTTAAAAATATTTATCTCGAGTTGACAAAGTAAATAAAGTCACTTTTGTAAAAAGAAAACGATTATTTATCTTGAGACCCAAACACAACCAAATGCAGAAGCGTTTAGCTGTCTCTTTGAATCAATTAAGAGAACGAAGATAGCCAAAGATGTCCCAATTTAAGTGAAAGGAAGAGCGATAATGTATAAAAGAGACGTAAAATTTACATAATCACTTCGGGATTTACTTATAAGAGATACTATTTGATTGGTATTTTATCTTAAGTACTATACTTGTATTATTTATCTAAGTTACTAAGTTGTGGTATGTGTAGTTTACGCAAGTATAACGCATTTAAATAAAACACTAACGAAATACCAACTTCAACGGAACAGACGGCGCTAGCGTAATAATTTTTACTTTGAAGTTAGAGACATCCTCCATCTTTAGTTTCCCCGTGACCACGGAAGATAAAATTTTGAAACAAGTTTCACTAATATATATCACGTTTTAAACCGTTTAATTGTTATATTAAATTTTTTAAGCTTAATTGTATGTAAAGTAATAACTGTTAGGATTATTAATTTATTATTGCTTGGAAAAGGTTATTGTGACGTTAATCAATGCTTAAACGATAAAATTGAGGTTTGGTGGAACCCGATCTAAAAAGAAAAAATATGTAGCGCATTACGTGTATCTATAAAATGAAACTTAGCGATTAAAGGAGTAGCGGCGAGTTTCTTGCCAGTTCTTCTCCTTTGTTCTTGAAATTTAAGAACTGGTAGTAAATGTAAGTTGAGAATGTTTAGTTTTTAACTGATGTGACGTTTATAAGCGTACCTAATCACAAACGTATATCTATAATTTAGACGTTTTATTGTTATGAACCAATAATTTAGTTAGTTATGGTAAAATGGAAACTTTGCTTTTAGCAGAGTTCTTTGTGCTCACCGACCGAAAGAACTGATTGTTTCCCAGGGACACAGGAATCCTTGTACTTTTCCGAATTAACAAAACTAAATGGGTCACTAGTACAAATAAATCATAATTATTATGAATGTTATTGTTTTTAATGTATGTATTATTGTATTATTTTAAACAAAGCAACTCAAGTCAAACAAATTTAACTCTTTCTAATGTAACAAGAATTTTATAAGAATTTGTTCATAGATGGTATGAACTATTTCTCAATAATCTCTAAACGTCTTTGGACATTTCTCATTCTTTTCTTATATAGGTTTGTTTAAAAATTGCGCAGGTAAACTTCTCGTTAGAAACAATTAATCAAATTTGTTCTCAAACCACACATTAATTCATCATATAAAGAAATGTAGGTTAAATAGATCTTAAGCAATAACTGATTTAAAGGCTTAATACACTGTAATTAATAAAAAGGTCTAAATAAAAAACATCATAAATTGTGTATAATTTTAATTTCATAATATCCTCTTTAATTATGTACATTTTATTAAGCGAATAAACCTGAAAAATAATTTATTACAATATTTGCCATAGTATCTTTACTTATGATTTATTTACATTATCTAGTACCTTCTAATTTTTCTGAAATATGATATTGTCTGGAAATCTTTTTCTTGTTGAGAAATATGGCTGGGGTATCACCTCCCATCAAGGGAACCCCTTTTGTCTTTCTCTAACTCACATACATTTAATAAATTTGTAGACATATTAAGAATTATAAAAATGTCTTCACTTAATAAATAGAATCGACAATACTCAATAAGTCAAAAGTGAAAATCGTACAAATTAATGCTTTGTTCTAACAGTGTAAATCTATCAATCATTTAAGGGGAGGGAATTTCCCAAGTATAAGATAATACAATGCTTACTCAGTGACGTCCCCTTAATTGGGTCGTGATTTATCGGCTCGGTAAAAGCCTTATTCTCATTACATTCTGTTAAATTGATAATAATTAATTATACAGCTCGTAAACTGTAATTATTTCGTTGTATTTATTTAAGTTGTAATTGCAATTCTGGTTATAATTTGTGCGCCTGTCTCTTATCATAATATTTTGCATAGTTAAATATAATAGCAATTAAAAACGAAAATTATTATTTTCAAAGTTACAGCAAAGGATATCGGCAATATTACGTAAAAAGAAGTTTAATTTTACTTGTCTTATGTTAGAATTTAGAGTAAGATGCAAATATTTGATAAAAGAACAAAAACTTAATTATAAAAAAAACGATTTGTTTAAAGCTTGACATTACTAAATATGTCTTCTATAATATCTGTTTGTTGATAATATTTTTTTATAATATAACCTTTAATTCGATAATGCTTACAAATAACTCTTCAATTTAAAAAATTGTCATTATCTGCTCGTTACATTCCAATAATGGCTTTATAACGATTTGGTCTTTTTTAAATACTTAGCATAAATAAAGAAATGGCTTTAAAGTAATTTTATGATTAATTGATACTTTATAATTTATTTATAACTTTATTTACACATATAACTTTTAGTAATTTGTAAGTTTTTAAATTGTTTCTTTTTTACAACTGGTATCATTCACGTAACAAACTGTTCATTTAAACAATACGGTATTTTGATAGAGAATATAATCAAGAAACTTAGGACAGCAGCAGACAATTCTAGCGAAGATGTGGCGCAACCCTGCTGCATTGCTGCTGGATGTTCACCTATAATATTAGCAAATAAAAAAATATAATTAGTAAAAAAAGATTGATTTCGCCATTCTTTCGTTAAAATAATTATTATCTAGACTTGGTTATGATAATAAAATTTTAAGATTATCAAATGTTTCAATCATTTTATGTTTGGACAACTACAGTTGATTAAGATATGAATAAATTTATTTTTTTATAACTTCAAACAGTCTGCCGTTCACCTGATAAGACGTGAACTCTGGTGTTCGCTGGTGGAGCGTTATTTGGTCCACAAGTATACACGCCAGCGTCAGATGCCCTGGCTCGCTGAACTAAGAGACGGCTAGTACTCTTCAGGCCTTTCTCTGTCACTAGCGAAATACCCCCACGGGCCGAATCGAAGTTTATTACCTGCTGAGAAAATATTTTCTAGTACTAAACATGTTGTAAAGTATATATTAAAGTAACATATAAGAAAATATGTATTGTCTATAGTTTACGCGAGTAGTACAAATAGACCAAAATTTGATTACCACCAAATCAGTCCTTGTGTGTTTTAGGATTAAAAATAGAAATATACTGTCGCAGATATTTACCGAACGCAGAGCGTCGTGCACGCACGGGAAACTGTCAAAGACGAATAATTTTCCCATAATTTCCACATTTCCCACTGTTCTTGTAAAGCCTTCATCGGAAAATGCTTCAACCAACACAAAATTAATTTTTCATTTCAAACAAGTAGTTTCAGAGATTATTCAAACAAACTCGTCAGCTTTATTATATTAGCATAGATTATTTTTGTATAGCAATATTTTAGCTCAAAAACATTTTACAAAGTTCAGCTGATTTTCGGCGTCGGAAATAGGCATGCAGCTGTGAAAATACCAATAGAACTTTTAGTGAATAAATGAATTTCATCATTCGTTCATGGAAATTAGATATTAAATAGTTACAATGAAACCGCTAATTCCGAGCTTAATTTTATTGTGTAAAGCCGCAATTCGAGCTTTCGCGACCGACGCAAGTTTGACATTTTCAACAATTTGCTAGTGTTTAACTTTTGCAGCTGAATTTCATGTGTACAATATTTGTACCTCGCATATGCGTTTCGTCTGTGATGCAACTTGGATTATAATGTTTGAGTTATATATAAAGATAAAAATATACCGTATCTACATGATTTTTAAATACCGATCGTAGGTAATGCGAGAAGTACACATCTAAATGTACAATAAAAATACTAAATATTGTGCGTGAAAAATTTATCAAATTGAAAAAGTACATGATTAAAGAGAAAGTGTTTAAAGGAAAAGTATTTTTTTCAATCTATATTAATATTATAAATGTGAAAGTAATTCTGCCTATCTGTCTGTCTGTCCGGCTAAAACTCCGAAACTACTGAACTGATTTAAAATAAAATTGGTACACAGATATTTTTAACTGCCTGACAAAGGGCATAGGCCAAAAAAAGGGGATGAAAGGGATGAAGTTTGTATGGAAATTCGTGGTTTTTGAAGCTAGAACAATGAAATTTTATTCTTTGGCTTTTTGGGAACATTTTTGGCAACAGGGAGTGGGACTGGGTGTAGGAATGAGTAGAAGTAGAGAAAATATCATAAGTAGCACTAAACAAGATAGATTGGCTGCCTTAAATGCGCCCTTACATAAATTAATAAACACTTAAAAATAAAAAAATATGTCAGATGCCGACGAAGTCGCAGGCACAGCTAGTTCAATTTAAGAAAGAATTCAAAGGATCTAGAATTTATGAATGAAAAACACATTCATATATATCTTATTTTTAAATAAACTATTCCATATTTGAAATTCATTTTTTTATTCAAGTTGAAAAAACAATAGGCAACTGTTTAACTAACCACAGACTAAGAACAGAAAGTACTTAATTAACCTTGATTGATATTGTTTATCTCATAAAGCACTTGTCAACTGTTTTTTAGTGGATTTCGCTAAGACTAAATCTTTGCTGCATGATCATTAGATATATTAAGCTGTATTATGTCATAAATAGGTGTTAGTATGGCATTTGAATATGATATTATGTCAGTTGAATGAAGCACTAATCGGATTGTTAATGTTGTGTCAAATGTGTTTCATGCTAAATTGAGGTATTTGATTGAGCTTACCGTTGTAACTAATTAATTATTATAAGTGATTTCGTGGAATCGCTTTGGATAGTGCATGTATTATAGAGATAGATGCAATTTCCAATATTAAACAATCTGAGCTATGAAAGGTGAAGTAAAGATTTACTTTCGTTATATCTTCTCAATGTGGAATGAAAACATTAGTTGCATATTAAACACTTAAAAATTACGTCTCGAGCCGGCCTTGAAGCAGCATTCACAGCGTTTCGTGCTATTGCTCTGACTCGATAGCTCAATCGTGATAAAACAACAGCACCGAATGTTGTGGATGCCGGCTCAAGTCCTGCTCGAGTCGTAAATTGTTTCGATGTAGAATTTATCTAACAGCGACTTTTCGAATGCTTTGCAGCAGCCGTGATGACACCGGAGACACAAAATAACTTCAAATAAGTTTAACTAGTATATCGCGTTTTAAACCGTTAATGTATTTTATTTGATTATTGTGTACTACTCGTGTAAACTATACAAAGTGTAATCTTATTTTTTTAACATAATTGTAGCAGACAGATTTTGTGTTCGTTATTTAGAAATACCCACAGGATTTGAACCCAAGACCTCTGACAAAATGCAGGCCAATTTTTCACATTTACAATCGCTCATATAATAGAGACGAGAATAATGCTAAAACAAGTAGTTCTTGTGGCCTTGGCGGGATTCGAATCCGCAACGTCTACACTAACTGCCTCACTTATTCATAACCAAATTTATTTATAAATTTTTACTAAGACCTGTTCTCCATGCGTCCAGGTGATAGAGGTAGGTGGTTCCGGGGTATGTCTCACGGTACAAGTAAGATTAATCGTCGACCCCTTCTGTATGAACAACTCGGCGCCACTCGATATAGTCGTCTCCGGCTCTACGAATAAGATTCGATTTGCAAAAGCACTCCTTGACATTGAATATTTCATATTATGGAAATCGAGAAGACGATTCCAAATGGCATTATTGAGCAGTGAGGTTATTAGATTTTCTAAATTCACGTCGTTAACTTAATTTTACCTGCTATACAAACCACATTGTTTTATTATTTTCTATTTGACATTTAATTTATTCCGGACAGCTTACGTTTTAAGGCATAGTAATATTATTGGCAACTAGCATATAAAAAATAAATATTGATTATACTTAAAACGTTAGGAATACCTACATAAATTGTAACACTACTTAGACCACTTGTTTAGTATCGTCTTTAGAAAGGTACAATTTATTGGATAAGTTACGTTGAATTAAGCGTTGACAAATGTACGAAATCACGCCATAAGTTTAAGTCTTTGCTCTGAAATAATAAAGTGTTTGTTTCCCATGAACCCGACGCCATGCTGCATTCAGTACCTGCAACCGATTCCTCTCTCTTGTGACTGGAATAATCTACCATAAAAGGAGGGCTCTGGGTGCAGGCTCCAAACAAGTTCGCTTCTAACATCGACACGGTTCGCGTCGCAAGTACTTCGCATCGTATTGGTAGATAGTTAACGCCGGCCGTTTAGACTTATTACACATATAGACATGATATAGGCGCGTAATAGTAGCGTGGCAATCGGGTGTAGTGGCATAGCGATATATTCTAAAGCGGCAACGTATTGGCAATTTTATTTCCAAATCTAACAAGACAACCGGTAATAAATTAGTTTAATTTACGCTAACTCGTACATAATTAATAACAGAAACAATTTTATTATTATTCTCTTAATGCTAACCTGTGTTAGAGAAGACTGTTTTCTTTAAGATCTATTGCATATAAGCAGTAAACATTTACTTAGTTTCCAATTATTATATATATATTTTTATTATAATCTTAGTATGGTTAAAACTGACTATAGTTTACGCGAGTAGTACACATTTAAATAAAACACTTTAACGGTTTAAAACGCGATATATTAGTTAAACTTATTTGAAAATGATTTTTAACGTCGGCCCGACTACGGTGCTTCAAAGCATCCGAAACTTTAACTAATATATCGCGTTTTAAACCGTTAAAGTGTTTTATTTAAATTAGTATGGTTTTCGATGTATAGTATCGGAAACCTTGAACTAGTCTAATAATTCAAGGTTTCCGAGATCTAGTAAAGCGGTTTGATATAATAGAAACAAATGATAACTCAATGTGATAAGTATGAACACTTAAACAAAATTAATCTACTAACTAGTCTTTGAGGTGTTTGGCTCACGCCATCTATACAACATAACTACGATACCATAGAGATTGAGGATTCAAGTAGTTTAAAAAAGCTTTGAAAATAAAACATTTGTAAAAATGTTCATAAATAAATACAATATTAATATCTTGACTTCTTTTTCCTCAAATGTTTTAGTATGTTGTGTAATGACATTATTTATTTTAAGTGATATTATAGATTCACTTATATGTCTAATACTCACCAACAATATTGAGAAATACAGCGTGTCCAATAGGTGGCGTGGTGGATATCTGGCACTCGTACTGTCCGGAGTCGCGTCTCTGCGGGCTGCGTATGCGCAGCGCCCACTCCTCGGAGCGAGGCTTGTGTTGCGCCTCGAACCGCTGGTCGGACGTGTACGTATACCGTCCCACTGTTAGCAGGTGGATGTCACGGTGACGAACCCACGATACCTACAACGGAAATAGTACATTATAATCTACTATTTACCCACTGTCTACGATATTTTATGCTACGCCGTCGCGCGTCTTCTACAGTTACTAACTGCTGTAGAAGACGTGACACGCACTACGGCGTAGCAGTGCGTAGAGCATGGCGCAGTTCTTAATAACAAACAAAATGAGTTGATAAAATTCAAAATTAACTTTTGTCTACTAGTGATCGCCTTGCTTAATATAGCGTTAATTACAAAAGGAGATCCTAAATTCGAATTATGAAGAAATATGATTATTTCGTCTTGACATGGCACAGAAGGCTTTGATTCGGACATTGAAATGTATCTGCCATATATCTACCGTTATTTTTTCATTTATTTTGACTATTTTTTAAATAATCATAACTAACGTTACAATCAATAAAGACTTGAAATATTAATAAATATAAGAACAGTTTTATTAAAAATCAGATATTAAGTTATATTAATCTTATAAACTAGCCTGACAAAGTTGTGTATTAAATACCACTAACAGTTCTCCACGAATTCGTGTAAAATGTGTTAAAATACGAGACTTTGCAGTATTAATAGAATAGTTGGAAAACTCAGGGAAAGCTGAGACACCAAAGAAACTTGAATAAAGTCATCAGGACTCAAGTAAGTTTTGCTGGAGCGGTGTTTTATGAAATTGAATATAAAGGTTTCCTCAGATAGTTGAAAATATGCAAATTTCAAAGTTAAATGTTTGACGAACATTTTATCATAGTGTGACTGAGAATTCATTTAGTTTTACATGAAATTAAAAGGTAGGGCGACGGAGATAGAAGATAAATAAGCATGGAATTCTGGTAATACAAGGTGATAGCATAATTATGAATAAGTAGACCAGGTCCCTTCTGACCGAGAAAGATAAGATGCCGTCGTCCTTAGCTGTTTAAACATTATAGATACAATTGTAAAAAAAATAATAGAAGATAAACTATCCTAGCCATATAGTTTTTAACAAATGTCCTTTTAACCTATTTTGACTTAGGACGATCTGAAACGTAAAGACTAAAACCTTTTATATATATATATATATCTTTATATATATTCGCATTAAAAAAAATTATAGAAGCATTTATATCTTTTACGAAATAATTTTTCTAAAATCTTAATAGTATCTTGATATATAATTTATATTATCAAGATCCCATTTAGATAATAATTAATTAAAGTCTTGAAAGTGGTAGATGGGACAGAATTAAATTGTCATTAATATGATAACGCAAAATGCAAATATATACTTCCAAAATACCTTATCATAATTTATCGTTTAACTTTATATTGATTTGATTAACAGTTATCTCTGAGAACAACCATGAAACAATATCACTTATATATATTTCTATCCTAATATATAAAGCTGAAGAGTTTGTTTGTTTGTTAGACGCGCTGATCTCAGGAACTACGGGTTCGAATTGAAAAATGAAAAAATATTTTTGTGTTGGTTAGAGCAGTTATTAAGGAAGCCGATGTGACTAATAGGAGCGAAGATGTAGCGGGAAATGTGAGAAAATTTGGGAAAACTATTCATAATTATGGGTTTCCGAGGAGTACGCTGCAAGAACTGTTCAAGATACCCAAAACATATGTATGAAGGAATGATTCCTCTTTAAATGATCTAAAAAAAGTCGAAAATGCTATATGTCTATGTTTTAAGATTAACTTGCAAGAACGAGCGGAAAACGACGCGGCCGACGTCGTGGGTTAAGTTTATACAAAATAAATATTCTTAGCGGACGAAGTCGCTGGCATAAGCTAGTAAAAAATTTATTACCATTTTTGAATGGTAATGTTTTATCGAATGAGGTAGCTAAATATTTTGTGGTCAATTCTAGCGCTATCGTGAGCAATTCGTGTTTTAAACTGTACAACTTTTTATTATAAAAAGAGAGTGAGGGGGTGAGGGGGAAAAGGGTAGGGGTAAATATTATATTTTGGGGGGGGGGGGCGGGGGGTATAAGGGCGGCTTGGTTTTTTTGGGTGGGGGGTTTTTTTATAATATAAAAAAAAAAAGAAAAAAAAAGAAAAAAAAAAAAAAAAAAGATCAAAAGAATTTTAAATTTTTTTTGTAGGTTTTTAAGGGAGAAAAAGGGGGGGAAATTTTGGAATAATTTTTTTCTAACTAATGCGGTGTACCCTACCAAAGGACTAACTACGGAAATGAATGTTTTATATAAATACTAGCAATAGCAATTTAAAACTAAAATACTTTTCACATGTGCGCATAAATGAAAGCCCGTTTCACCCTCGTGGGGCATGGGGCGAACACATTTCTGTGTCCGTTTCACTGATCCGTTCTTTTAACGGGCAAGCAGTTGATCAGACTTCTGTGTATCTTGCCGATATGTATGTTCCGAAAACGAACGACTTCTCGCGCTTACCATGTAGGCAATACGTTGAACCATTTGGCTACAGAGGCGGACATGAGCACATGATAGTACTATATAAATTAAAAATCAATTTTTAGATTGAAAAAAAATAACGACACGAGCGAGAGCTTGACCCGTTCATTCGTGCTGTTGCTCTGACCAATTGAGCTACCGTCGATTTTTTTACCCATTGATATATGCACCTCTCGCCCAATGTAATTTCAACCGTAATACTTGCGAATTACAAATTTATTCAATAGCGAAATAAAATAAAGCTTAATAATCCTACCTTTTATATATCCCATTATACTTCGAGTATCGGGGTTATCAATGAAGACGGTAAAGTGCGCACTTAACAGTGAACGATCGCTATCTCGAAAGGTAATCATAAATATAAAACGTGAAAGCCTCTACGTTTTGGGGTCTGTATTATCTGTTTTTATGTTGACCCTACCGCTAGTTCATATTTTTGTTTAGATTCTTGTGTGCGTCTGTAAGCGGGTGTGTTAGATTCTGTACTTGAATGTGTATTAGTAGTGAAATCTTGTTTCCCCACGTGGGGCATGGATCGAACACATTCTGTGTTCATTCTACTTATCGCTTCTTTTACAGGAAAATAGTTGATGAGACTTTTCGCTGCCCGACTGACACAATATATTGCTTCCCCAGGATTAGAGCCCAAAACCTCTCACGCACTAACACGTTTAACCATTTAGCCTCAGTGGCAGTTAGCTAGGTGTTACTTTCAGTGCGGGGTTGCTAATACAATTTATTTGAGGTTTAAGTCAAAACGCCTGACGCGTGAATCAAAAGATAGTTCATAGAAATATCCTGAGAAATCATTCGGTTCTCGAGCGGCCCACGAGCAGACCGAAAATTACCGAGAGCACCCGATGTTTGACGAATTTAAACAAAAAAAGTTGAATATTTCGTTGACATAAATCGCGTATTATTTATTTAAAAAAACAGAAAGTTGTTGTTTTCTTGAATGTTCTAATTTTAATTTTGACAAGTATCTAAGTAAAGTACTAATGAAGTTAAATAAATAAAGTACACCACCAATTCTATAACCCACCAGCCGCCAGCGGTCAGCGTTATACTTGGTATTAGTTGTGTTGTAAATTAACAACTTAAAGTTAATATAACTTTAGTCTACAAATTCTTATTGTCCGTTGAAAATTATACGTAACAATGATATTTATTATTCGAGACAATTTCTCAAGTTAGAATTAGTTATTGAATTAAAGCTTATCTCATGATATAAAATAGCCCTTATCTTAAATCTTGGACCAAAAATTATGAAAGTTTTTGTTTGTAGTTGAGCTACTTAGGTTATAATAATAATAGACAGAGAGTATTCTCTTAATAGGCCGAGATCCCTAAAGCTCAGGTACTTGTAATAAAATAGAATTTAGAAGCTAAAAGAAAAATGATTACCCTTTTGTTCAATAAACATAATACTGCGCTGTACTATTTTATTAAATAAAATAAATATTGATGGGAATATACATTGATTGAAGATTTGGATCGGATCTTTTATTCAAATCCACGACCTTTGTTTGATGATCCGTATTCTATAATACGTATTTGAGATTAATGTGTTTGAATTAATTTGAGTAACATAATATAATGTCAGTCTACTGTACGGTTGTATAGTTATTTGGAAACTTTCTCGATACAACGTAAAAAAAACAAATAGCAAACTACTTAATTAATATAATAACGTTCATAAATTTAGTGAACAAGAGTGTGTCTTAACTTTATATATTTATTTTAGATTTAGCGAAGCGGCTTCGTTCTTACACGGTAAACGTGTTGTATAGCATTAGCCAGGACTCAAGCTCAGGTTGTCTGTAAATTGTTTTGGTTGTACAAAACACTAATTTTGATTACCTATTTTCTAAATACTGTCTATAGTTTACGCGAGTAGTACACATTTAAATACAACACTTTAACGGTTTAAAACGCGATATATTAGTTAAACTTATTTGGAAATGATTTTTAACTTCGGCCCGACGTTTCGGATGCTTTGCAGCAGGCGTGGTCACAGGGAGACTCTATCATCATCATCCATCATTTCCAAATAAGTTTAACTAATATATCGCGTTTTAAACCGTTAAAGTGTTTTGTTTAAATAACTATTTTCTAATAAATAAAACCCGTTAGTGAACACAGAGGTGTGGGGTTTTCTTAATTAATTTTTGTAACGTTTTTAAACTTTTTTATTCATATTATACCATATTTATTAATAAATTAAAATGCATATACAACCAAGATACTTTGTTTTTAGTTCTATACTTGTCTATATAACAGTAAATACCTATATTCATTCAATGTGATGGTCTATTAGTCATGTTCATGTATTATTTCACAAAATTATAATTCGTGTGTACTATAATTGAAATAATAAATTATAAACATACATTTAATTTATTTTCAAAAATATAATTGCAAATTACGAAACTAATTATTAACATGTTTTGGAAAACTACACACTTAGCTAAGGTACCGTTTTCAAACTTATTACTCTAGGCACGTCTTAGTTTTTATATTGAAAGAGTGAAAATTTTAACTCACAGTCTACTAGCGCTAGTTAACGGCTTAATTGAGTACCCCCACTAAGACCACACAATTAACGATGACAACCAGGACTCGTATTCGTTATAATTATTAGTAATTCCAAATAACTTGCTATCATTTCACTACACCCGAAATTCGAACCCGGGACCTCATGCAGCGTCCAATGTTGAATCGAGTTGTAGTATGCTAACGATTTATATCAATGGTTTTTACAACACATAATATGGACAGTTAACTAGACCTTTTTCAAAATATTTTTTAAAAAAAAAAAAAAAAAAAAAAAAAAAAAAAAAAAAAAAAAAAAAAAAAAATCCCCCGCGGGGGGGGGCCGCCCCCGCCCGGGCTCCCCCCCCGGTGGTGCCCCCCCCCAAGGTGCTCCCGGGTCCCCTCCTCCTTCCGCGAATTTTTTCTTTAAATTTGGAAAATTCGATTTTTAAATTAGACTTCTATAAATAACCGCCACCTTAGTTCACATTCGTTTTTAAACATACAATTCTTCAAAGTATTCACGATCCAAGATACACGTTTCTTATTAAATCGCGTGATGCAGAAATACGTTTTATGTGCAGCACTAAAGAGTTTATTATTACGGAGCAAAACGGTGTTTTCAGGTGTCAGCACTTAGCCGAGTCCTCAAAAGGCGCGGTAGAAACGACTTGACTCCTTTCAACGCGGACTGAAAAGAAAATGCGATGAGGCTATTTCGGAAAATAATTCTTAAAGTTTTCTTTTGTTATACACTAACTTGTTACTTTGAGATGTAAATCTTGAATAGAGAATGCGAAGTGGGCATATTTTATTTTTAGAACATGACTTTGAAGTTTTGCGTCTTTTTCGTAACGACAAACAATTCTTTATTGATTAGTTACCTTTGCTGAAAGTGCTTTTAAGGGTTAAAAGAATTATATATTTTAATTTAGTTAATTTATAAGTATAATGCTTAAGCAATTACAAATTAACTAATCATTTATTACTTACTTCTTTTATAATAATTTTAACGATAAATATTCTAGTTTTATTATTTATATTTGAAAAATTAACTAATATACTTCGCCTATTAAACCGTTAAAAGTGGTAGGTGTAGGTGATAGGAATATCGTTATTCCGTCCGAGTTACAAACCACCACCCACACATGAAAAAGTGAAGTTTAATCGCGTTTCGGTTTCAGTTTGCGGATTTCCGAATATCCAAATCCAAAATAGGTCGACAGTGCATCAAGTTTAGATGTTGTGTGGCTGGGGTATTTGATCTACCATCAAGTGAATCAATTTTTTGTCGATCCTCCCTTTACCATAAACAGAATGTAATAAACGTAAGGTTGAAAAAAATCGACGACGACGTGTAAAACACAGTAGCTCAATTGGTTAGAACATCAGCACTGAACCTATGGATGCCGGTTCAATTCTCGGTCATAATTTTTTCAATTTATAATCAATTTTTAAATTAATATTGTTATCTCAAAATATTATATTGTGTGTAATTTTAAGGCAACTTACAGTTCTGTTCTGCAAATTCTTCACCCGGCAAAGCAATCGCACCGGATGCCCTACTAATCCAGTGATGTTTCTAGGTGTACTTGGGTCAAAGTAGGGTGCATCAGAGCCTTGCCACTCTTGAAGGAATTCTGCCCGAAAACGACGTGACGTCATTTCCGTTGAGGATTCTTGGTAGTCGCCGGAATCAGCTGTAAAGGACAAATTCATAAAGTGGTTTATTTTACAGGAAGTATGCAAATCCTGCCTATAGTTTACGCGATTAGTGAAACGGACACAGAAATGTGCTCCCGCCGTGCCTCACAATGGGAAGCGGGATTTTTTTACACCAGCTACAATAAGTACTTTATACAGTCACGTTGAGATTTCTTGGTGAAATGCGATCGTTACCGCAATCTCCTTAGAAACTAGATCTGTATTATTGTCAAAGGGCAGTAGGTGAGTAGACGCTTTGACAATTAAATTATTGCACAATACTCAATTAAGGTCTATTTGTAGGTACATGTTGGTATTCGGGCCAACACTGTCAGTCAAGTATTAATTTAACATTGACAAGTATCATCAATGTACATTTGAATGAGCATAATATACTATAATTAAAGAGTACTCGAAGATCCGGAGTTTGATTCTCAGCTTTGCAGTAGAATTAATAACTGTATAACGTTAGGGATTTTAACGTCCTAGAATCAAAAGTTCTAAATCCTGAATTGCGGAAATGGAAACTCTATTAGCGAGTTATTAACGCAATTCTAGGTATCATTGTGTGACCTACAATATAAAATGCTGAATGGTATCCGTAACGTCAGGTCATAGTTGAAATAAATGAAAATATGTTAAAATAAATTTCCCATTTAAAACTGTTAAAAATGTTTTATTTAAATGAGACCAGTATAAAACTAAATTAAACTTTAGGTGCGATACTACGTTATATGTAATATCTTACTATTACTATATAATTTATATGAGAATATCCCGTTTCTGTATGTATGTATGTATGTTATTTCTTAATCAAAGAGATGGTTCTCTCTTTAAACGTGCGACTCTGAAAAATGAATTCATTTAAATTGTTTGTCCAATTCTTGGTTTCTTAGCGATATAGAGATATTGAATTATTCAAATGTACATTTTTATTGTAAAGATATATTATATGATACCCAAAAAAATTATTCCAGGCAGACGACATTTTTTCATCGATAGATCTCGTGCATATTGGAAGAACTCAAACTAAATACTGTCTATAGTTTACGCGAGTAGTGCACATTTAAATAAAACACTTTAACGGTTTAAAGAGCGATATATTAGTTAAACTTATTTCAAAATGATTTTTAACTTCGGCGCGACGTTTCGGATGCTTTGCAGCAGCCGTGGTCACGGGGAGCCCGGGGAGCCGTGTCTCATTTTCAAATAAGTTTAACTAGTATATCGCGTTTTAAACCATTAAAGTGTTTTATTTAAAAGAACTCAACCTGTTTATTTTTCCTCGTTAAGATACTAAAATCCTTGTAATACAGCGTGATAAGGACTAGGTATTAATCCCTTTACAGAGGCTTAGAATTATTAATAGCTACATAAAGAGACAAAGAGATGCCAAGTTTTTTGCATGCCAGTCTTATTGAAAAGGCCGTCCATTCAAAAGCAGTCAAGCGGAAGGAAATAAATATACGAGCCCCATACAATGCTTTAAGTGGAATGATTTACAAGACAACATTCGTCAGATGAAAGATCTTCAGGGACATTATGCGTAATAATAGACGTTATCTAGGATAAAAGAACATAAATGTATAATTTAAAAATCGAAAGTAAAATGAAAAAATTTTCGACTCGGGCAGGACTTGAACCGGCATCGTCAGCGTTCCGTGCTGTTGCTCTACCAATTTTTTTTTTCAATTTATTTGTGTGTGTGTAAAACATGTGAAAATTATTAATGTTTTAAAACATAAATGTATTTTTAATTATATTCACTTCGATATAAATTGAGTTTTAACTAAAATAAAATTACAGTAACTATAACTATACACTCGCGTTTCGTTTATAGTCTGTGGATTACAGAATCTAAAGCCAAAATACAGGTTAACAGCGTATTTTATTAAAATGATATATGGCTGGAGTATTACAACTTCCATCAAGTGAACAAACAAAAAAAAAAAACAAAACAAAACAACGAACAAACAAGTCATTTTTGACTCGCCTACTTACTAGTTACATTTAGCTTTGACGATATTTTAGTTCGCATGATGTTAAAGGGTAAAGAGTTAATTAATCGTAGGTTACTTTCACATAATCAAAGAACTAATTTCCCGCCAAATATATAGTGCGCAGATAATCCAACCATGTCAACTAGCACAGATTGTCAATATCAATGCACAAGTAACAAATTTTACCTCTTGCATTATACAGTTAACTTTAAAATTGTACTATAATAGAGCTGAAGAGTTTGTTTGTTTAAGACCGGTAAACTCAGAAAGTACTCGTTCAGATCGAAATATTATTTTTATGTTGGATACACATACAACAAGGAAGTTTGGTTCGCAGCGTTATGTTATACATATGCCTTTAAGCTATACATCACTCTACAACCACCAATATAGTCCGCTGCACTATATGTCAAAGTTCGAAATGTCGAATAATATTGATCTTGCAAACAACGAAACTATGTTTGCCAGATCCGCTAGTAAATAGAGATAGATAAATGTTGACATTAAATACTCACCTCTTAGAAACAGACATTGTAAGAGAAATAACAAAAGAGCTGTGTTGGGGCCGTTCGAAGGTTTGCCCATCATCTTCAGTCTAATGTATCTTCTTCTCTGAAACAAAAAAGAAGACTATAGCTCACCGTCCCAACGTTTCAGTACCGCGAAATGTGACAACAACCAGACAACAATTAACATTGTAATTTCATTCCCTTTCATAACAGTTGTGAACAATTATTCCGTACAAAATTATGAGTGTTTTAAAGGACGAAATTTACATGTGACTACGTTATTTTTGTTGGCACGCTTTACAAAGACTCAGCGTTGTAGGTACTTAAATGATAGTAGAAACACTTTTTAAGATTAACATTCTATTGTATTCATATATTCCTTTTAAAACATGTATAAGCGGAAAATTTTATGTTTCGTGGCATTGGATCGCTCCATAGTTAAATTTGTAAACTAAATACTTGTTTTTAGTTTACGCGCGTGTTTAAACCGTTAGTTTATAAATATTTCAATAAAACACTTTAACGGTTTAAAACGCGATATATTAGTGAAACTTTTATAACTAACATATATTGCGGTATATTAAATTTAACTAAGATATCGCGTTTAAAAATCGTTAAAGTGTTTTATTTAAATATTTATAAACTTTTAACGGTTTAAAACTTGATATAATTATAAACTTTTTGCTGTAACAATTGCATGTTTATTATTTCGCGTTATACTTTTAAAAGTGCTTTCTTTATATTTAGATTGAAAAAGAATTTGCGACACGGGCGGCATCAACTAGCATCCACAAGGTTCCATGTTACTGCTCTAATCAATTGACCTACCATATCCTTAAGACAGTAGGTACTTAGCTAGTCGGCTTGTTTGTTTTTTTAATTTAAGTTTTAATATTATTTTTTAAAAGTTCCTTATAGTATATCATTTGGCGTGTGACCTTTTCATTTATTCTTTGATTACTAATTAATCACATGAATATTTAAAATTGGCATCTTGATGCTCCATAAAACATTCCATTTAATTAATCATATCGTTCGTTTTAATAAAAAAACCTGCTTATACTACGAACTAGCTAGTTGTAAATAAGAAAGGTAAACAAAATAAGTACACATTCTTATTCTTATCTATCTTTGAATAAATTTACAAGCAACAGACTTGAAACTTCTATAGCTTAATTAAAGAATAAAAGTTGAAATCTATGTAGTAACAGGAAAAAGGTTCTACTCAAGCAAACTTCAAATACGTTTCCTAAATTTCGTGAAACGCTATATAGTTCCAATATATATAGAGTTCGAGGGTAATTGTCATGTAATTCAGTGTCTGGGACACAATAAAACCGGTTCCGAAGACGGGACTCTGTGTACTTTGCGATAGACAGACGCGTTTTACCGATCTCTTCGGTAATAAAAGGGATTTCCTAGTAAAACTATGTGAATATTTGAGTCAGCTTTTTTTTATTTCTCTTAAAAACATTTTTCAAACAATCCAATCCAATTAAGTGTGGGACTTAAATAAAACACTTTAACGGTTTTAAAACGCGATATATTAATTAAACTTATTTGGAAATTATTTTTAACTAATATATCGCGTTTTAAACCGTTAAAGTGTTTTATTTAAATGTGTATTACTCGCGTAAACTATAGACAGTATTTAAGTGTGGGATTCCAAGTCCAATCGTAGCATCACTTCACTTATAATCTGTGCCTCGTGGGTTCCATTTACACCGTATAAAACATGTTTACCAAATCAATGTATAATTTTTCTTTATCTGGAAAATATGGATGTTAAATGGATGCTAGGAATATCGAAATTCCATCCGGGTCACGAAACAGTTTTAGTCTGTGGATTTTCGAATACCAATGTCCAACGCATCTTGTTATTCTAGTAGTAGAAGTCTGGCTGTCAATAAATCGATCAGTGTAACGGACACAGAAATAGATTTGCTATCCCACTTGAGGGTCATGGAGTTTAACTTTATTTTTTCATTTTGATTAAGATCTTTACAATAATTTAAAAGACTATGCATACAATATGTTTAATACAAGCTCAAAAATTACCTATTTATATCTTCTCGAATCTCTGTTACGTTAAGATTTAAAGGCGAAAACATGTCGTCTTCAACGTTTTAATAAAAAAACATCGCACGCGCCTCGAAGCCTATAATTTCAATTTGCGATGATGCATTAAACGCGGTTATGTCACGTAACCCAAGTTTATATAAAATACGGTAACACGCCAACACGCACCTTCTCCACGAGGGTATCAGGAAAAATTGCCGAAACAAAATTGCCTAGCGTGTATTCTGATATCGTGACTCGTCTTTCCTATACTAGTTTTACTGGTGACTTCACCCGCGTGAATGTTTTTTTCGCTTTTGGTGCAGCTATTTTTTTTAGCTTTTAATATGTTGGGCCAAGTAAAACTTTGTGCTAAAGCAATGACACGAACATACAGGCAGATAATTAAATTAAATAAAACACTTTTAACCGTTTAAAACGCGAAATATATGAGTTAACTTATTTTTAATTTATTTTAACCACCCCCCGACGTTTCTTCTTCTAAGCTAGCAATGGTCACGGGAGATGTTACTTTTTTCTTAATTAACCGCACTTAGTCAATCAACTGTTCAGAGGTAGAACAATGAATCGTAATTGACTAGAAGCTTTATTATAAATAGACTCTCAGTTATAAAAAAAAAAAAAAAGGAGGGGGAAAAAAAAAAAAAAAGGGGGGGGGGGGGGGGGGGGGGGGGGGAAAAAAAAAAAAAAAAAAAAAAAAGGGGGGGGGGGGGGGGGGGGGGGGGGGGGGAAAAAAAAAAAAAAAAAAAAAAAAAAAAAAAAAAAAAAAAAAAAAAAAAAAAAAAAAAAAAAAAAAGGGGGGGGGGGGGAGGAAGAAAAAAAAAAAAAAAAAAAAAAAAAAAAAAAAAAAAAAAAAAAAAAAAAAAAAAAAAAAAGGGGGGGGGGGGGGGGGGGGGGGGGGCGGGGGGGGGGGGGGGGGGGGGGGGGGCGGGGCGGGGGGGGGGGGGCGGCGGCCCCCCCCCCCAAAAAAAAAAAAAAAAAAAACCCCCCCCCCGGGGAAAAAAAAAAAAAAAAAAGGGGGGGGGGGGGGGGGGGGGGGGGGGGGGGGGGGGGGGGGGGGGGGAAGAGGAAAAAAAAAAAAAAAAAAAAAAAAAAATAAAAAAAAAAAAAATATATAAAAAAAAAAAAAAAAAAAAAAGGGAGAAAAAAAAAAAAAAAAAAAAAAAAAAAAAAAAAAAAAAAAAAAAAAAAGGGGGGGGGGGGGGGGGGGGGGGGGGGGGGGGGGGGGGGGGGGGGCCCCCCCCCCCCCCCCCCTCCCCCCCCCAAAAAAAAAAAAAACCCCCCCCCCAAAAAAATTTAAAAATTTTTAAAAAAAATTAAATAAAAAAAAAAAAAAAAAGTGGGGGGGGGGGGGGGGGGGCGTCGTTAAAAAAAAAATTTTTTGGGGGTTTTGTGTTGAAAATTTTTAATTTTTTTTTTTTTTTTATTCGCAAAAAGGGCACCCTTTTAAAAGAATAAAAGAAAAAGAATTGTATTGATAGTTATATTAAAAGCCTGTAATTGAATAAACGTTGGTCTATATTGGTATATCGGTAGTTTCAATTCATTTGGAAATACTTTTAGGCGATAATTACATATCAAATAATAGTGTCTTCCGAAATATTACAAAGAAAATAGATGTTTCAAACAAACCTTAATTATATATTAGATATTCAAAGCCAAAATAAGTTATACGCAGCTTTACCTTCCATCAAGCGAACCCGACATTTGTCTGCCTTTTTCTTCATCATAATAAGTAACTTTCGAAGTAGAGCACTAATGAAAACTCCCTTTGCGCGCATTTCAAGGAAAATTATATAATGTAAAATGAAGATTATTTTAACTTGCTTGTGTGATCGATTTCAATACGCCTAAACCTCTGAAGTTATATTTTCTGACGTTCACTTCATAGACCATTTTTTTCATTACATCTCGAATCAAAGCGGATCCGATTGTTTTGGGTCCGAGCCTAAAACAATAAAAACATCATATTTCACTTAAACATTATCCCGAGGGAACCCCAAGGAAAATAATCGAATAGTTGTCGAGTAATATTTTTTCCATCTCGCCTAATCTCACAATCATTCACGCTTCATAGATGGTAAAGTTTTCCCTGTGACTTGATGACTGATGGGTTTTACGACTAGGTTTGATAAGAAGTAAGCCATCTAAACAATATTTGAAAAAACATAGAAATAATTTAGGAACTATTTTTAGTTAAACACGAGTCTCCAGTGCTTCATAAAAACTAAAAAATTCTTCAAATTCTTGAAAATAACTGCATAGATATATTTTGTCTTTCGTCAATGAGAATCGAGGATCAACATCTCCTGAAGATCCTCCAAGTGATGGCGAAACTATAACTCTTCTTACATCAAACCAAAAAATAATATTATATGCCTTATAATAAAAAATTTCCCCTATACGAAATCAACGATTTATTTCTAAATATACATAGGAGTAGAAAAGGGCTTGTGAATTCTATTGTGATAATAATTTTATTGTGTAGGTCGTATTTTAAAAATCACTATTAAAATCGCGCGTATCTGTTTGTTAAGTCAGTAGAACCATTATTGCGTTTTACATATTTATTTACAGGCAAGTAATTGATCAGAATTCGGTGCCCTGTACGATCGACACTCAATTATGCTACTCCGGTGATTGAACCCAGGCTCCCTGAAATTGTTTTTGACTATTGAATCGTGGGTAAGCACCCAAAAAGGTGGTATTAATTATAATACAATTTTAGGTCACTGTTAACATCAGTTATACTTAAATACTATCTATAGTTTACGCGAGTAGTACACATTTAAATAAAACACTTTAACGGTTTAAAACGCGATATATTAATTAAACTTAAACTATTTGGTAAATGATTGTTCAATATAAAACAAATTTGCCCGACTTTCTTTGCAGCATCTCGTGGTCACGGGTCGAAAGTTAACATTCATTTCCAAATATAGTTGTAACCTCATAATATTCACGTTAAATTAAATATCGATTTAGCATTCCTGCTTTTAT